AGTGCAATGACATCTTTGTTAGTCAGTGTGTAACATTTTGAGAGGTGGCAGCAGCTTGCTTCTGAGAGTGGTGCTGCACACTGGCTGACACACGTTGCTATACAATAATGTTCACAGTGACAGAAGTCTATCCACAGTGACAGAAGTCTATCCACAGTGACAGAAGTCTATCCACAGTGACAGAACTGTGTCCATAGTAACAGAAGTCTATCCACAGCAATATAATTGTGTCCATAGTAACAGAAGCCTACCGACAGTGACAGAACTGTGTCCATAGTAACAGAACTCTTTCAACAGTGATAGAATTGAGCCCATGGTGGCAGGACTCTCTCTCAAAAACAGAACTCCTACTGAAAAATGTGACGTAAAAATGAACACAAAAACCATACTTTGTGACAGAACACGGGTCAGAAAGAGTGCCGTGACGGTCACAAGATTGAAGAAGTCTCTATCTTCTAGAATTCTGTTTGCTGAAGTTTGCAGTCTTCCCTTGAAAGCAGGATGGAGGAATCGGCATTTCCCAGCAGGCCACGGGAAGGATTGTCTTCTTATTTCCTAGGTTTTCGCTGATGTCAATTTGGCTGCGTTTCAGACCAAGAGAGGACATGACGAGCACAGCTCTAGGTGTTTTGCTTGAATGATCTTACTGTGTGCTGCCGTCTTAATGTGCCATTAAGAAATCGGAAACACAGAGGAGAGAAACTGGTAGAAAAAAGGACAGAAGTCAACCTGTGTCTGGGAACTCAGAGCTCCAGGGGATATCCTCTGGACTCTGAGCTCTCCCGGGACACAGGATCAATACCTGTGTGGGTTTCTTTGGCCTCTTTCAGATTCATAGAAGCCCATGCTTGACTATGACAGCGGGCCAGAGCCAGACTGATCTTCTGCAAGGTTCCACCTCCATCAAAAATAGATTCATGTACAATTTCGACACAATTAACACCGCTTGTTAAATCGTGCTAAAACTGGTTAAGTGGTCTGTTCTGGGAGCTGTCCATAGCGCTGAACACACCGTCTCACTCTGCAGTCTGTCCACATGTCTCATGATCAGCTACACTGCAAAACTGAAATGGACACAGCAGAGGTGCTGGGGCAGTGTAGGAGAATTAATGTCAAGAAAAGTGCAGGTCCAGATCAAGTGTGTGGAAGGCTTGGGAACTGCCTGTGCAGATCAGCGGTGTGGTATATTTAGCTTGCTTTTTCTGATGTCCTTATATTTACAAACCATTGCTC